AAGATCCGGGAGCTGGTGATGGACAGGGAAGCCTGGCATGCTGCAGTCCATGGGGTCACAAAGAGTCAGACACGACTGAGTGACTGAACTGAACTGAACTGACCCTTTCCCCACACTACAGCTGGAATTCTCTTCCTCAAAAGATGGACAATCACACCACCCGCTTCCTTGTCCCCATGACCACGGCTCTCTGTGTCCTTGCCCACGTGGCCTCTCTGGGCTCCAGCTCACCCCTGCCACTCATCCCTGTCCCTCCCACATCCCCACCCACCCCCAGGCAGAGGAACTGTCTTCAGGTCCTTCAGTGCCTGGAACATTCTCTTATCTTGGGTCTTCTACTAGCTGTTCCTTCTGCTTAGAAAAAGCCTCTCACCTTTACCTGCTTGGCTTCTGATAATCTCAGTTTCTCAGGGTAAGGGGCATTTCCCCACACGCATCCAGGTGGCCTGGCCCCGGCCCACGACACATGCTGCCCTGAATGCTGCATGGCCAGCTCTTGGGAGGGCAGGGGTCACACTGTGTGGTCATGTCCTCCCAGAGGCTGGGGCTCCGGGAGCACAGGACGGTGTCTGTCTGGCTCACTGAGGCAGCCCCAGTGACGGCTACCAGCTCAGCACAGAGAAGGCAGTCAATTCGTGTCTGAGTAGAAGAGTGACCTGGACAGAGGGGTGGGGGGAGAACGCTTCCGATCACTTCTTTTACCTCCGTGGATTCTGGAATAAGGTGGACTCTTAGTTGGACAGAGAGAAAGACAGACTCCCTTGCTGCCCCTGTTTGCTGCTTCTTGGGTTTCTTTGACGTTTCTAAGCCCCAGCTCAGAAATCTAGATTTTGCCCTAGCTACCTGGAGCTTGCCTGGTGACTTCCTTAGTTTGGTGGGAGCAGGTAGGAGAGACTTATCATCGAAATGGAATAAGAAGTACTCATTTTCCAAACCAACTTTTAGAAATAGCTCTTACTGGGGGCACTTAGGTAGCTAGCTGGCTTCTGAGCAAGACACAAGTACTGAGAAATGCAAAATCTGTGCAACTGCCTTCCTTCCTTGCTGTCAGAAGCCTGAACCTAATACTTTGCACAAAACAGCTGTCTCAGTGGTCATTTATCCAGTAATCATGACCTGGAAATGCAGCTAGGCAAGATGGAAAAATGGCTTCAGAACCATAGCAGCTCCCTTGCGAGGGTGGGGAGGCCATTAAACCCACACAGGCCGCTGAATACTGATGTCAGAGAGACAGGAAGATGTCATGGGGGTCACTGAAATGTTAACAGGTGGAGGCCCCTGACTGTCCTTTCAGAAGGAACACTCTCTCCTAGAAAAAGGTGGAGGTGGAGATGAGGGAAGACTAAACATTCAAGACCAATAAGCCTCTAAATTTGCTTTTCCATGAGCCTGAAATTATCTTTGCAAGCAACTTCTGTATCTCGGTATGAAGTTATACACGGGTGCCCCTACAGTGTGGCTGGGTGTGGCGGGCTGGCCCAGAGGGCCCGATGGAAGCTGTGGAGGGACCAGGGTGTGGACAAATGGGTCACCTTCACGGAAGGATCCAGAGTGGTTCCTCCGACATGCAGATGGAAACTGTGGTAGACTCACCTCTTACTGCAGCTGCGGGCAATGGCTGTTTGAGCTGCACCAATGCCTGTGGGATTTTACTCTTAATTTTTTCTGGATGTCTGAGAATCACCACCATGAATGCACATTATTTAACTGGGCTGAAATACAGCAACGCTCTCAGGAGCTACTGATGTATGAGGAATGCTCATCCCTACAATTGAGGAAATAAAATGTATTCTCTATTTAAGCAAGGTAAATGTCCTGCTGCATGGATGGCAAATGCCAAGTGGACAAGGTCTCACACTCAGGCTCCAGCAGCAGAGAGACAGTGTGGGTAAATGACTGTCGGACAAAGTAGGGTCTTCACTTGTTCCAGCCACATGTCAAGTGCTTGACTGTCTCATGGGACTAGCGGCTGACTGTATTCCACATTCCATGGCTGGAACATTTTCATCACTGCAGAAAGTTCAACTGGGCAGGCTCTGCTCCAGAGTTTTCCCTGATTATAATTCTCTAGTTAAAGTTTCTCTAATTTTCTACGACTTGGAAGAAAAGCTATGACAAACCTAGACAGCATATTAAAAAGCAGAGACATTACTTTGCTGACAAAGGTCCATATGGTCAAAGCTATGGTTTTTCTAGTAGTCATGTATGGATTTGAGAGCTGGACCATAAAGAAGGCTGAGCACTGAAGCACTGATGCTTTTGAACCGTGATGTTGGAGAAGAGTCTTGAGAGTCCCTTGGACTGCAAGGAGATCCAACCAGTCAATCCTAAAGGAAATCAACCCTGAGTATTCATTGGAAGGACTGATGCTAAAACTCTGGCCACCTGATGTGAAGAGCCGACTCCCTGGAAAAGACCCTGATGCTGGGAAAGATTGAAGACAGGAGGAGAAGGGGATGACAGAGGACGAGATGGTTGGATGGCATCACTGACTTAAAGGGCATAAGTTTGAGCTAGCTCTGGGAGATGGTGAAGGACAGGAAAGCCTGGAGTGCTGCAGTCCAGTGCTGGGTCATGAAGAGTCAGACATGACTGAGGGACTGAACAACAACAACAGATTTTCTATGAAGATCAGAAGTTACTTCTATAATCAGAAAAAAGGTCTAAAAAAGGAAAGTTTAGATTTGTGGACTGTTGGGAAAACCCTGGAGATTATTTTGGGAATGGCAAAACAGAATCAAGGTGACTTGTATCGAAAGGAAGTAGCGAGGCTTAAGTGGAAAATACTGTTCTCAGTTGAAGTACACAAAAGGATGTGTTACCCAGAAAGGAGGCGGTCCACGCGTGACCCAGGAAAAGGAGCTCAGGGCTGGATTAGAGGGGGTGGAGGGGACAGCTTGGGATGGCAGAGAGACAGACCCTACAACAGCGGGGCACTTGTGGACCATGGCTGCTCTACAACCCCAGTGAGGGGTTATCCAGGAGGTCCCTCCTGTCTGGACTCCACTCGCGGCCTGGCACCCCGGGCCGCAGGACTTATCCGCGTCTCCTCCCCTTCCTGGGTAGCCAGCTCCACGAATGGCCCGGAGCCCCCTTACATGTAGGTGGGAATGTGTGATTTATGGGAAAGAATATGAAAAAGAAAATGCATATACATGCATAGTTGAATCACTTTGCTGTACATCAGAAACTAACACAACACTGCAAATCAACTATAGTCCAATAAAATACATTTTTAAAAAACCAATATGGGGAAAGATGAAAAAAAAATCAAGTCACACACAAAAAACCATTACCCTCTAATGGAGAATTGGGTAAAGGGCATAGAGAGAGATAATTATCTGAAGAAAGAATCTAAAAGGCTGATACATGCGAAAAAGAATGTTTAGTCTCTCTGGTAATTAAAGTAAGACTGACTAAAACACAGTTAAAAAAAACCCACAAAACTCATGCTGCTGAATCTCATAAAAGCCATCAGAAACATCGTTTTGTAAATCTATGTACCTCATCAGTTTGAATGTCATCATCTCTGATTAACTGTCTAAGAGCACCCACGTGGTCTGCCCCTGCGCGACATCTAGGCCACATCCCCCCCAGGCTTGCTCTGCTCCACTTATATGGGTCCCCTTCCTGTTCTCCAACAGGCTGAGTGCATGTCTGCCTCAGGGCCTTTGCACAGCTGTTCCTTTTGCCTGGAATGTTTTTGCTCTGCCCTGCCACAGTTTCCCCATGATTGCCCCTTCCTAGTTATTCAGAGTTCAACTCACAGTCACCTCTTGTAAGGAGCTTTCCAAGACCCCCCCTCTATCACCATGTCATCTCCCAATTTCACAGACAGCAGAGAAGAGATCTCAGCTCCTTAGGACACATAATGCTTCCTTCCAACCTCTTGTGCTTATCTTGACTCTCTGGTGAAACCTTGCTGCCAACAGGTAGATTCATATGAACCAAACATGTATGGCCTTTCTCACCCCGTGTTTAGAAATTTCATCAATGGACACACTCTCCCTACTTGAAACAGCTGCGAGGGAAGCAACTTGGAAGCCACCATCATCCAATAAACGAGCCATGATATTTTCTTTGGAAAACACACTTACCTACAACATATTACACAGATAGACTAAAGCATGCTCAATAACACGTTCAGAGAAGCGCCAACACTGGGTTGGGTATGAACACTGCAGAGGCATCATCCCGTTTTTCTCCCTGACACAGAGAGAAGCCTCTAATTGCAGTTTATCCCTCCATCTCTGGACAGTGTCAGGACAGGAGTGCCTCTCAGCAGAGGGGGAACAATCTGGCAGGCTGGGAAAGAGCACTGACATCTAGCTGGAACTCCCAAGTCCTCATCTGCAAATCCACCTGGAGTCAGAGTTGGCTTGGTCTTGAGAAAGAGCATGGGGCCTTCACTGTGGAATGTGACGGTCACCAGATCCCTGGCAGAGATAGCGTCATGTACTTTGTGTCCCTTCCTTCAGGAATAAAATATTTTGCATGCAAAACAAATCCGCAGAGCAAGAGTTGGTGAATTAGGGCCTGTGGGCCAAACCTGGCCCCTCCGCTGTTTTTGCAGAGCCCGTGAGTGAAGAAGGGTTTTTACATTTTTCATCAGTTGAAAAGTTTTGAAAAGAATCATAAGTGTCATGACATGTGAAGGTCATATGAAATTCAAATTTCAGTTTCTATACATAAAGTCAGACTGAAACAGCCACGTTTACTGACCCTCCATCACCTGTTGCTGCTTTCAGGCCAACACAGCGGAGCTGATGACGACTGTGATGGAGACCATCTAGGCCACAGGGCCTAAAGTGTTTAGTATCTGACTCTTTCCCGAAGCTTGTAGCAGCTCCGTCTGAGTCCTGAATGTCCCCACGTGGGCCTGGCCTTGAGAAGACTTGGCCAGGGGAATTTGTTTCCCCTCAATGCGAGTATTTCCACACCTCCTCTGCCCTGAGACACAGTCCCAGTGGCCGAGGTCACCAGCAGAAAATTCCACTTACGTAGGATCCATAATCTACAGCCAGGGTCTGCAGTGCCCAGGGGAGACCGAGTCCGATGAGGATGTCAAAAACATTGCTCCCGATGGAGTTGGACACGGCCATGTCCCCCATGCCTGCGAAGACAAGAGGTCACTGGAGTGAGGAAGGTGGTCCCTGGGGGGTGTCCCAGCCCTTGAAGACTCTCTCCAGCCCCTAGTCTGACAGCCAGAGACCTGGTGGGCAGGTGGGCCAGCCCAGGTGCTCGGGCTGTCCCAGACCATCCATCACTGTAGGATGATTCTGATTATAAAATAGTCACTGAATACATATTTTCAATAAATAGAACGAAATACACATTCTATTGAACTGTTGAGCTTTACTTCAAATATGATCATTGATTAAACGTAATTCATAAAACAATCTGGTTGCAAAAATTCTGAAACATTCTGTGGAAAGGAATAAACTCAACAGTCTATAAACGGCTCATGAGTTCACCGACCCACACAGTTCAGTGTCATTACCCATCTGCTCCACGCCATATCCGAGTCTTTTTCTAAATAACTGAGCAACATTGAGGAAAATAATGTAACCAGTAGAATTTTGTGAGGACCAGTGGAGGACACTTTGCTAAGGGTGGCAGCTACACACTGCTGAAAACCAATCTCCTCCCACACAAATCAGGTTCATAAACAAGAGTAGGTGCTCGGAGGTACATGGCCATCTGGGGGGCTCCCACCCAGGGGTAGGGAGACTGTGATCTTGCTTTTGAGGGTGGAAGGGTCTGTTACACACTCAAGAGTAACATCTGGCAGCTGGTGCTTTGAGAGGTTCTGCAGGGAGTAAATCTTAGGCTATGGGGTCCATCCTCTCTAAGCTCAGTTTCCTCATCCATGAAATGGGTATATGACTGTCCCTAATTCATAGAATTGTTAAATTAAGATCACGTGTCTAAATTGCTCTGTTCGGTGTGGGGCTATCATCAGATGTCAGCTATCACTGTATTTCTTACTATTTTTAATAATAGAAGCAATACAACCCCAGAGGGGATGAGGGGACACGCTAGTATATGGGTCTCTGCCTTTCTCGAGGGTGGATCTTCTGGCTTGTTTCCCTGTTATTCTGATGCCAGGAAGCCTTCTGACCAGCCTGGCACTGAGGTGGCTGGTGTTCCTGCATGGCTGGGATGCGGTGCCCTGGTAACTGCCGTGTAAGCTCCCCCTGCCCCCCAAAGTAGGGAGGCCTGGCTTCTCTTCCCAGCCCTCCCCATGCGGGCCCCACCTTGTCTGGCCACAATGAGGCTGGCCATGCAGTCGGGCACGCTGGTTCCAGCTGCCAGGAAGGTGATCCCCATGATGACGTCAGGAATCCCCAGCGTGTAGCCGATGATCGTGACCTGGGGGCGGGTGGGGGGAAAGGAGGGAGGCAGGAAGAGGCCGTGAGCGGAGGGCCGATGCCAGCCCTGCCTGCCTGTCGACCCTGTCACCAAAGCTGAAGAGTCTGCAACCTGGGCAGTCTCTCTAGGGGCAGCGTCTGCACTCCGTGTCAAAGACAGAGGCCTAGGAATGTCTCAGGGAATAGAGAGGTGGAGTTACAGAGCCCATGCTTTCCAACCAAAGACTGGCCTTTTTCACATGTTCCTTTGGGTGAGGCAGGCAGCCTGAGAGAGCAGAAATAGAGTTGCTGGAAAAAGGCAACAGCGGGACAGTTTTTGAACTCAGGATGTTCCTGGGGACCCAGAATGGATGGCTGCCGTGCTGTGCCAGGAACTCCACTGTCCACGTCTCAGGTCGGCTGCGTGAAGAGACTTTACAAGAGGTGGGAGGGGGTTGAATGACACCACCCAGTCTAGTAAGAAAAGCCGTCAGCTTTCTCTCCTCCCTTCCTGGCAGCTTGGGAACATCATCTCTGCCCACATCACCCTCTGCTCCATGGTGGCTTACATCTGCCTAGAACTCAGGCACTTTTAGTGTAACTTACTTAACTCTCACTAAAACCCATGGCACAGCTACTGGTGTTATCTCCATTCTCCAAGCGGCCTTGGGGTATCCTCTGCCCCAGGCATCAGGCCCGAGGGCATGGGCAGCACCTCTGTGTACACAAGGGGAGGGGTTAAGTCAACACCAGAGGCAGTGCTTCTATTCTGTAAATGAGCTCATTCTGGCTCCCAGTTTTCAGATGGGCAAACTGGGAGGACAGCAGTGGGTGAGACAGAATAACCAGGGGCAGGTGGCACGAGTGAGTGAGTGGAAAGAGACCAGTTCTGGGTACCCTGGCCTCAGGAGAGGACAACGTGCAGGAGCTAAACGTTAGGTCATTGTGGGATGCGCCCACCCCTCATGTTCCATAAAATGGCAAGAAACGCAGACGGCATGTGGCCAGTAGCCCACTCCTGCCAGCTCCTCCAGGATCCCTGCATGGGAGTCTAGCCTCACTCTCTCCCCTCCAAAGGTTTGGGGGATGTTATTTAAATCTGCTGGGATGTCTGGCTTGGTGTCTTTCAAGCAGAGGCTGTGTGCCTCATTTCCGCCCAGTGCTGGACTAGATTTACGGTGGCCTCGGGTTCTCTTCCTTCCATGCTCCAGGGAGGAAAGGGAGGCGCAGAAACACAGCAGTTTCTTGTGGCTGCTCTGGAGCCTTTTGTGCAATGGAGCTGCAAGTGTCCTGCTCACCCGTGTTTTTCTGTTCTCACCCTCAGCGGAGTCCCTGCATGAATTAGTTTTGCTCCGTGGGGCTCGAGCTGGGAAGAGGACCCTGCCCCCGCTGTTCCTGTGGTTACCATGGTTACAGCCAAGGCTGGAGTGCTGGGAAGCTATTCTCCAGGTGTCTGTATCAGGTCCCAAGGCTTTCTCCTGGTCTCCCCTTCCTCCCGGCCCTTTCCCAGGGCTTCTCCAAACCTCCCCCAGAGTAGAAGGAGGCAAACAGGAAGACAGTGAGCCTACGATCTGTCAGCTACTTTGCATGTTAGTAGACTTCAGAGAAAAACCACTGGACACCGGGAGGTCAGGGATGCCAATGCTATTCCCCAAAGTTGGCACCCAACTGGAAGGTCACATAAAAACGGTAATGGACACAGCATGAGGGAGAGACCCCTGCCTATGAGATTTGGATTGAAAAAAAAAAAAAAGTCTGTGATGTTGAAGGCAAGGGATAACTATGAGTTAGTTGTGTCAGGTTTACACATTTGTTATTACCTCCAAAATAATCTTTCCAGAACTTTTTTTAGCTCTTGAGTTTAATTCTCCAGCATTTATATTTCATCTCTACCTGATGCTCAAGCACAATTAGATCTACATATGTCATGGTTTTTAATTTCTTCCCAATTCCAATTATAATGAATTAAGGCCACTCCCCAGTTCAACTCGAGCATCATGCATGGGCAGTGAGTACACTCTGGGTTTCCTAGGATGGCTTTAGGGCAGAAATGCTTTTGAGCGAAGGTCCCTCAATCAATGCCAACTCTTGAATCATTGTTTCAGCTTCAGAAGGGACCCTTGAGCATTCACTTGGTTCAGTGACTTCATTTTCTGGTTGAAGAAACTGAGCTGAGATGGGGAGTGATTATGACGGATGGAGTGTCACTTCTCAGGCCTCCCACCTTGCCTCCATGCTGGCTGCCTGTGACCCTGCAGGTCTTCCCACCAGAGCGGGTGGGGTGTATGTCCCCCACTCCACAGATACTTGGCAGATGGAGGGTGGGTGGAAATCTCAAGCCAAGGCTCCAGAAGGCCCCCATATTTGCCTTTGCCCTCCTGCATCCCAGTGACCCACTGTGAGAAGACACTCCCCAGGTAGCCACTGGTCCAAAGAAAATGGGCAAACACACAGCAGACACGAACCCCACCTGCTGCCTGAACCAAAGGCAACCACACTGGAGATGAAAGCAGACTGCTTAGCTGGTTCCCGGTAAGACCAGTCACCCACAGTCTCCCTGCCGACACATGAGCAGGAGGATGGGCTCTTCTGATTCTAAGCCACAGAATCTAGGGCTGGTTGTCACACAGTGTAGGGCAGCAATAGCTGGCTGATACGGTGACTGGTCTAAAACCTCTGCCCTGGCTCCCCTCTGGTTGAGAGTGCTTCTCTCTGGAGGGACCCAGCACCCTGGGGTCCTGGACTCACCATCCACACCATCATGTAGGAGAAGGCTGCGATCCACAGCGTGGACGAAGCGAAGGTCACCATAAACCACTTCTCCCAGCGGGGCTTGTTGCAGTTGGGGACGGTGAAGTACAGGACGAAGCTCAGGGGCCAGGTGAACGCCCACTTCACTGTTTCCAGTTTGCCAGCTGGGAAAACAACAAAGGCAAAACAAACAAACAAAAAAATCAGGTGCATTTTTTGGCTCCATCCTCAGCATGAGTGTCCCCAGACATTAAACCTGACCGTGGCTCTCCTTACCGCAAAGACTCCTTTCCACCAACAACAAGACCAAGAGGAATAGAAAGTGCCCACTTGTTGGCAGGCCTCAAAATGACAGGATGTGTAGCTTCTGAGTAATACAGAGCTGAGGGGGATGGCTTGGCAAATGGAGCCAGGTGGAAAAGGATGCGGAGGATTCTCAGGATACAAACGGGGTGCAGGGAAGAGTGTGGGGTTGGGGTGGAGGAAGAGGAGGGGCGGTAAACACCACCAGCCCCCTCGCAGTCCTCCCCATGGATAGGCAGCTACATCTTCCCAGAGTCTAAGGGGGTCAGCAGACACAGCGCCACCTAGTGGAATTTCTCAACATCGTCCGTCAGCTTGCGGAAATTTTGATGGATGATGTTACAGCTCTCCAGGTTGCCAAAGCATTGCTTGACTGTTTACATCCCAAGCTGCTATGGATTTGCAAATTCATAACTGCCTCCTGGCTCTATCGGCCTGCTGCTGTGGATAAGATGACGGATATGTTAGTGATAACCTGTCCTACCATCTCAGCGGCCTGAGTGCTGAGTGCCAGAGACAATGGTGACTGTTTTACCATGAGTTCTTGTAGCCTCAGATTTGAAAAACCCATCAGCTCTCCTCTGGCCATGACTACCATCCTGCTTAGTGGCTAAACGACAACAATAACAAGCCATCCTGCATTAAGTACTAACTCACCTCTGAAAAGAAGTATCAACCAAGATCTGCAGAAAGGTCTCTGTGCATCCTTTCTGGTCAACTTCCCACCCCCTACCACCATAGAGGAGTTCTTTCTGTTCTCCACCTTCAAATAAATAAAATCATACAGTATTTTGTTTGTTTGCTTGTTTCTACCTTCTTTTATTCAACATAATGCTTTCTGAGTTTCATCCGTGGATCGGTAATTCATTCTTAATTGCTATGTAGTGTTCCAGGCTGTGAATACATTGCAGTGAGACAGCATTCTCTTGTGTCTGGGATTTGGGCTGTTGCCAGTTTTCAGGTATTACAACTAAAGAGGCTGTAAGCTTTTCTGTGTCAATCTTTCTGTGGGCATGTTTTCATTTCCCTTGGGCAAAGACCCAGGAGTAGAAATGCTGAGTCATAGGGTGGGTGTTTTTTTAACTTTATGAGAAACTGCTGAACTGTTTTCTAAAATGACTGTTCCAGTTTGTATTCCCACCAGAGTTGAGGTATTTTTAAAATTACATTGTGAAAAGTGATGACTAAAATGTTTAACACAATTTATCTTATAATTGTATACCAGCATCCAGCACTTATTTCATACATCTTTCACCAGTCTCCAAATATTTTCTTAGAACTGCAGTTAAGTTACATGACATCACTTTTGACCCCTGGTCTCCCTAGATTGCAAGGTGGTCTCTAGTGGGAGAGAGAGGGGACTTTCTTATCGTCCCCATTCTGTCTGTTCTGTCTGAATTGAGTGCCTCAGTTATTTAAACTCCCTGAGTCTCAGTTTCCTCGTCTGTGGAAGGTCGACAGAGCAGCAGTCCATGGGGTCACAAAGAGTCAGACACAAGTGAAGTAACTTAGCACTCCCACATGCAGACATACAGACACATACATGATGCATGTGTGCTGTGCTTAGGCACTTCAGTCATGTCTGACTCTTCACCACCCTACGGACTGTAGCCTGCCAGGTTCCTCTGTCTGTGGCATTCTACAGGCAAGAATACTGGAGTGGGTAAGCCATTCCTTTCTCCAGGGGATCTTCCTGACCCAGGGATCGAACCTGGGTCTCTGGCATTGCAGGAGGATTCCTTACCATCTGAGCCACTGGGTAAGCCCATTATATACTATACAGCATATTAAATATATATAAATATTTGTGTATTAATATGCAACATATCAGGCCTTTTCAGGTGGCTCAGTGGTAAAGAATCTGCCTGCTAATGCAGGAGATGTGGGTTTTGATTTCTGGGTCAAGAAGATCTCCCGAGGAGAAAATGGCAACCCACTCCAGTATTCTTGTCTGGAGAGTCCCATGGACAGAGAAGCCTGGTGGGCTATAGTTCATGGGTATATGAAAAGAGTTGAACATGACTAAGGATGCACACACAGATGCAGCATATTAAATATATACAGTATATAGAAAGCATGTTATATGCATGCATCACATCAATCATACATGTGCACATGCTATATATGCGCACACACACCTATACTCATGTACACACACGTATGCATGCATGTCCTATACTCCTCTATTTGTATGCTCCCACACAATTATGTACTTGTTAATGATACATACTCCAGTCAAGCCTCAGTGGCAGAAACTTGCAAATCCAGGTCCCTGCAAGATTCCCTCGGGAGGGAAACAGAGCCCCACCCAGTGGCCCAAGTGTCTTGGCCTGAGAGGACCCTCGAGTGCCCTCTGCTTGCTCACCGCTGCGAGGAGGCAGCGCTGCCCAGGGGAGGCGTGGCTGGACACTCAGACCCCAGTCCCGGCCTTGAATGCTGTCTCTCCGCAGCTGGTGCAGCAGAACAGGGGCCCACACTCGGACAAGCCCATCCTCTCTCCAGGGGCAAAGCCAGGTGCTGGCCTTGCTCCCCGGGGTGGCAGAGGAGCCCTGCGGACGGCTGGGGGACCCCAGGCCTCAAGCCCGTGCCAGCCAGCAGGGGCCCACGGACCAGCAGCATCGGCATCACCCGGGGCCCCACCTGGATCACCCAAGTCAGAGCCCACCCCAAAGATGCCCACAGGAGAGGGGCTGGCGAGGGGGGACTCGGTATCCCACTGACTGCCTCAGCAGCTCAGGGCCCCGGGGTGAAGCTGAGACCCCCAGGGGCGGCAGGGCCACACAGCGCATCCGTTCTCCCTGTGGGGCTGTGCTTCCAAAGGAAGGAGGGTGCCTGACGTGGGCGCCTGAGCCCACACCTGCAGCCGTGCCTCCTAACGTGTGGGGAGACCCTATGGCCTCCACATGTGCACTGCAATCCTGGGGTGAGGGTGGGGAGAAGGAGTTCAGGATACCCCGAAACTTCACACTTAGGCCTGGAGGTACTGCGTCCAGGGGAGAAGCAGGGAGCTCGTGACCCGAAGGGGCCCTTCTGTCCCCCTGAGTGATGTGGTCTGTATGCTCTCACCCCTGTGTCTCTGATGTCTTCCTGGAGGAGTGTGTGTGGGCTCCTGGGCCCTGGGGCCAACACAGCGCCCGGCCACTTACAAACTCTTTCATCAGGGTCGATGTCAGCCAAGTGGGCATTCTTGGAGCAAGGTTGCAGGGCTGATGGTGAACTCTGCAAACAAGGGCTGGGGAAGGGGTGGAATTCCAGACATGGCCCCCAAGGTCTGTGCCCCGATTTTCAGAGCCTGTGGGGAGGCTGAACCACCATCCCTGACTGCGTTACACTGTGAAGCAGAGCTGACCTCCAGACAGGCAGGTCATCACTGGAGCCCTCGCGAGCGGAAGAGGAGGCTAGAACCATGAGCAGGGTGGGGAGGACCAGACACAACACACGCAGTTTGTTTGAAATAAGATGCCATGGGATGAAGAAGACGGTGGCCGTGGGGTGGGGAGCAGCCCCAGCTGTCAGCCACAAGGAACCAGCAGGAACCACCCTGCCAGGAACCTGAGTGTGCCGGGGCTTCTGGCAAGGACCGCAGCCCTGGCCCCCTCATCACTGCCCCGTGAGCCTCGGAACCCCCAGCCAGGCCGTGCCAGACTTCTGACCCCCAGAACCTGAGCTAGCCAATGAGTTTAAGCTGCAAGGCTTGTGCTCATTTGTTACAAAGCAACAGGAAATGAACATGAGGCCTTACAAGGGACGAGTGGGGGACCAGTCACTCCATCCTTAACATGTTTTTGTCCCGGTGGATAGGAAGGTTGCCAAGAAATGTCACCAAAGGCGGCAAAATGGATAAGGAGCTAGGATACATTTTTACTAACAAGCGATGACTCAACTTTGGGTGATTTGGGGTCTGGGAATCTGGGTGGTGTTTTCTAGTTACTTTTGGTCGGCAGTTGACCAGGCTGAAATCTCAGGAACCCTTCAGGGACCCCGTCTCCCTCCGAGCTTTACTGGCTGGACACAAAGAGGGGCCCCGAAGGACACTGCATCCGAAAGGAACCCTCGACTGTGACACTGCACCCATGTCTCCTTGTTAAACAGCCTTTCAAGTGGATCCAGCACTTCCTCCTCAGAGCTGACAGCCCCCACTACGTTCCAACGTTGCAGGGAGGACACACAGGCTAATTAAGCTTCACATACTTGACAGTGAATATGAACTGGACCAGCAAACACTTTCTTGAAACAGAAACTTCTGGAAGGTCGGGAAGACAGGCAGAATTCTTTGGATATGGTCCACCCGTTCCACTAATGGTGGGGCTGGAGGACAAGGCCACTGGCTCAGCTGAGTCTTTACTGGAGACAGCAGCCGGCGGACAAGGACACTGCCCCTGTGGCCAGGGTTCTGAGAGCTTACCAGCCTCTGCATGCACCCTGACCTGTCAAGAAATGGGAAGACCCCTGGGCCAGCCCCTGAGGTGTGATTCGGGAGCTTTCTGCCCGAATCACATGTCTGCGTCTCCCATGGTGCTCACCCTGGAGACAGCAGGTCCTGGGACCTGGGTCCCCAAGGGCTGCCTTGTCAGGACAGTGCCCCGACCAACCGTGAAGGGGTGGGTAAAGATGGGGGAAGCCCCTCCTCACAGCACCAAGCCACCTGGCCAGCAGGGTCCCAGGGAACCACTGACAAGAGCCTTCCTCCTCCAAAGGCCTGCATTTCAACCAGGCCCGAAGGTCGCCAACTTAGTCATCTTTGGACCCGCTGTGAAAGAATCTCACCCACTGTAAAAGTTAACACAATATAAATATTCCTACTGCCATACAGACAGTCCTTGAATTTGGTATCAGAAAGCTCACCCGGTCAAACGCATCAAGTCAGTGGCTTCAGAACAGCTCTGGACGCCAGCCCGCCCAGCCCGCCCAGCCCCCGCAGGGGCTCTTACTCGGGGGGTCGAAGGGCGTGTATGGCCCTTCCTCCTCCTCCTCGTCCTCCTCCTCCTCATCGTTCTCGTTATTCTCGTTGTCCTCATTCTCGTTCTCCGTCTCGTCACCGGCCTCCGCGACGACCTCGTCCCTCCGCGCCCCGCTCACGCCTCTGTCCGGGGCGCTGCTGGGCCCCATCCCGTTCTCCACCGTGTGCTTGATCGGGATCTTGATGGCCACCTCGGACTCTCCATTGGCATAAGCCCTGCTGTTTATCAGTCTCTGTCTCTGGAGAAGGAAAGGCACGTTCTAACACAGAATGCCCCCAGAGGGGCTGCAGGTCCTCTCACCCAGGGCCCCGGCTGTCAGGATTTTCCCAGGCTGCTGACAAGGAGGTGCTTCCAGAAGACTCTGCAGACAGGTTCTAAGGGACTCCTTAAAATAACAACCAACTCTGATAAACTTTCTGGGAAGAAGGATCACTCTTTCAAGACCCTCTGGAACTTACAAATCCTTTTAGAGGAGAGTCCCCATGTCTCAAATGGGCACTGCTTTTCTAGCCTCTGCACTGGGTTGTTAATGCTCCTCGCCAGACGGTAGCAATTCCCTGGTCCTTAAGTGAGAAAGCCATAAAATGTATCGGCATTAGGATCAACAAGGCTGCCATTTCAGAGAAAGGCATCCCTGGGAAAATTTGGGTCAGAGACTCTGCAGTACCCTAAACTAAAGGGAACTTGACTTAACAACTACTTTCCTGCAAGTTCACATCCGGGGGCTTTATTCAGATGGAAGATAATGAGAAGAAGGTAGGCAGAAGGGACAGAAGAGTCTTTCTGTACAGCTGGGAGCTGGGCTACATCTCTGGACACGTGGTGGGAAGAGCAAGGACCAGGTTGCATAGCTGAGCAAGAATGTTGGGGAACAGCTGAGGGACATTATTGTGTAAAACACTGAGGCAGGTGCTTTTACCTGCAGACTAGGGAACGATCTCCCTGCCCAGTTCCCCACCCTGGCTGTGGCAGATGGACTTGTTTTCTCAGATACCTCATTGATTAACATGCGACTGGCCATGGAGAGTCGGGTCTTGGGGGGGAAGTGGCTGGTGATCATGATTCGAAGACCAGCCTCAGAGAAAGAAAGCTGGTGTGGGTAGGCCGACAGCAGCTCGTCTACCATGATCACTGATGCTTTGCGGTGGAAATTGGCTAGGAAAATTAAAAACATAAAATAAAGATAGCGTTGAGGCTAGGAATAGGAAAGAGATAGTCATTCATCTTCTTTCCTTCCCTTCCTTATCTTTCCTGCTCCCTCCCTTTCTCCTTTCTTCCCCCCTCTTCTTCTTTCCATCCACCCATCTGCCAACCCACTGACCCTCCCACCCATTGACTCATCCATCCATCCACCCACCCATCCATCTGTCTTGAAGGGTTGTGATTAAAATTTGAAGAAGAGTCAAAGTCCGCTTTCCATGGGCTCATCAATACTTCCTTTGAAATGACTTGAAACAGTTTGAGTCCTTCTCTGACAATAATAAGAATGAGTGATAACATAAGAGAATTTTCCTTTCTCCTCAAAGGATTCTTTTCCTGCTACTAATATCTGGGGCATAGGAAAGACCCCAATTGTCTTTAGTAACCCTTTATGCCCTTTTCAAATGTCAAGAGTGTTCATAGTGGGCTGTTAAAAGCTGCAGGTTTGATGCTAGTCCAAGCAGAGGACATGGCAGGGGATGCAGGGCTGACCGGGGGTGGGGCGGGGGGCAGGGAGCTGGCCAGCTTATAGAGGCTCAAGTCCAGAGGGTGCTTAGGACAAATCTTGTGAAATGATCTGCTAGCAGGCCTGAAGAATACTTCCTCCACGGCCCAAGCTCTTCTGCGTGGATGTTGCAATGTGAGGACACAGCTCACGGTCACAGCCTCACTCCTGTTCTCCAGGCCACTAAACCATGAAATGATCTCTGGAGACACTGACTAATAGTAGGTAGCTCTCTTTGGTTCTCTAAGAGTATTCCTTTTATTGTTATAAACTACCCTGCAGAGAAGAAACGAAATGAAATCTTTATGTGGGATAGCGCTGAATACTCAAAAGTCTTTCATTTAAAAACATGGGTATAATTAGTGAGAAATTAGTATAGTATAATTAGTGAGAAAACTACATCAAATAATTGATTTTCAAATTCTAATAATTACCCACAGACTTCAAACAGATATGTACTTTGAAATAACCTATAGATTTTTCATTTTCTTTTTTTCCTCCCCTGAAAAGGAAGGAAATGGGACTGAGAAGAAATAAACCCACACATTTCAATAGGAAAGTTTTAAAAAAAGTTAAATGAAAAGGGAAACACATTCTAGGCAAAAGTAAATGATAATTTTCCATGTTCCTCTAAGAAAGAATATTATAAGAGAGCATTGTATTATTTCACTTTGAATAGGAACCGCTTACTAAGCATCTACTGAATATCAGAATTGGGGGGAACGATTGAGTGACTAACACTTTCACACTTTCAGGGCTTCCCTGGTGTCTCAGACAGTAAAGAATCTGCCTGCAATGTAGGAGACCCAGGTTCGATCTCTGGGTCAAGAAGATCCTCTGGAGGAGGGCATGGCAACCCACTCCAGTATCCTTGCCCAGAGAATTCCATGGACAGAGGAGCCTGGCAGGCTACAGTCCATGGGGTCACACAGAGTCGGACATGACTGAGTGACTAACACTTTCATTTTCTTTTCTATGTCATTTTGCAGCTGGGAAACTGAGGTAATATAGCCTGAAAGTGAATTCAGATATAAATATACACTAATAACAACTATCATTAATGGAGTATTTTATATACTTTATCTCCTTAACTTGTTACAAAAATTATCCTCATTTTACAGAAGAGAAAAATTGAGGCTCAGAGAGGTTAAGTAACTTGCTCCAAGGTCACACGGCCAGAACGAGAGACAGTCAGCGCCTTGACACCCCTGGTGTCTCCTTTACCATCTTGTTTCTCTGTTATCACCCCCGGCACGTTTGGTCCAAGAACTTCCACCAGCTTCCAGAGGCTGCCCATCACCAGGATCAGCCTGTTCCTGGATGCAGCCAATGGGAGGGAGTCGGGGGGCGGGGTGCTCCCCGGGGCAGGCACGCCCTGTGGGGGCCAGTGGTACCCGTCGCAGCCCCGCAGTGGGGCATGGCCCCAGGGTTACCTCTCTTGAGTAGCACCACGGTTGCGTCGCAGTTGCCGCTGTCGTCCATTTCGGCGTTGTTGGCCAAGCCATTGACCATGTTTCCGGCCCCCTTGGTCCTCCTCTCGAAGCACTGGTGTATGCAGGCGTTGTATCTGGACATGGCCAGGAGCAGAAAGAGCCCATCAGCACTGCCGCCCCTCCCTCCTGGGCTCCTGGCTCCCCAAAGCTCCCTCAGTCTGGACACGGGTGAGGGATCCGGTGTCTCAGGTTAATATGGTTACTGTTTTATCATCCTGTTTTCCCCAGGATATTCAGCCCATTTCCCCAACTTGAGGATATATGGTAAGTGAAAATAAAACCAACATCAGACAGATAAATAGGGACACACTGCTTTCTCTGCAGTCTTTCATGTCAGTGGGGGAGCTCTGGGATTGAGTTTCCTTACTCATGATCTATGTATGGATGTGAGAGTTGGTCCATAAAGAAAGCTGAGCACTGAAGAATTGATGCTTTTGAACTGTGGTGTTGGAGAAGACTCTTGAGAGTCCCTTGGACAGCAAGGAGATCCAACCAGTCCATTCTAAAGGAAATCAGTCCTGAATATTCATTGGAAGGACTGATGCTGAAGCTGAAGCTCCAATACTTTGACCACCTGATGTGAAGAGCCGACTCATTGGAAAAGACCCTGACGCTGGAAAAGATTGAAGGCGGGAAGAGAAGGGAATGACAGAGAATGAGATGGTGGGATGGCATCACCGACTCAATGGACGTGAGTTTGAGCCAGCTCTGGGAGATAGTGATGGACAGGAAAGCCTGGCGTGCTGCAGTCTATGGGGTGACAGAGTCAGACACGACTGAGCTACTGAACAACAACTCGTGGTCTATGCATGGAAGGGCTGTGATGAGGCTCAGATGGATGAGTAAAGACTCCCTCCTCTGGGCCACGTCCCCAGGGCCTTTGCTGTCAGGGCCATGCTGGGTGGAGGAAGATCAAGGTGTCACATCCGCCTGTGCCGCTAGCATCACAGTCCATGTGCCCAGGTGGGCTGACTGTCGAGGTCTCTGTCTGCCTTTGGTTTCCTGAGGTCACAAGCTGGGATCCAGGGAAAGTCTGTCACTGTTGTGCCATAATTCTAGGTCTGTGGGGCTCTTGGCTTTATGACAAAATTCTGGGCTATGTTTCTTCAGAGCGATTGAGGGAAAGAATCAAAACACTGTGCGGAGTTTCTCCCATGTGTGTTGGAAGGAAGGCAGCTTAGTCAAGTTCCTGGGATGCTCTGGCAGGTACTACTGTCCTGGTCCCTTTATCATTGGTATTAGAAGACTCCCATGGAGGAATCCTAGGAAACTCAGGGGCAAAGACAGCCACCGGGCAGAGTCTCCAGGGCACTGTGGCCCCTGCTGCTTTTTTCACTAAGAGACTTAAAGGTCTTGATGGTTCACTGACCATGGGACAACCCACTGAGGGGTCCCACCAGCTTGGTCTCTGGCCTTCCACAGAACGGCACCCAAGCATTAGACTCTAAATCCTGCTCACATGCCACTCAAGCTGTGTTCCCCCTCCTCTTCTTCATCCCTTTTCCTGCTACAGACATGAGGCCCCTTGGGGGTCCCTTCCCACTGCATCCTGTGTCTGTTTGTAGTGCAGCTCTGGGTGGTGGGCCTGCCATGGGGATACAGGTGGGGGATCCTCTAAGGCTGGGCCCCTTCCTGTTCACCTTGGGAACTTATGGTGCTTCCTACAGGAGAAGGAGAAGAGAAAGCTAGTCTGGAGGGATGGTGGCAGCCGTGGAAAGGGCAGCGGGCAGGCCCACTCCAGGGTTTATAATCTCAGGGCTTGCAAGGAATAGAATGAGAACATGACTATTCTGCAACGTGATGAAATGATGGAGCCAGATACTGAGGATCGGCAGCTGCCAAGATAAAAGGAGATCCAGGTGTCTGTTGGTGTGACTCTCTACCACTCTGGACACAGTCTAACCTGAATGATATCAACGGCTGACATGGGGGGGACACAGGGGCTGGAGGAACAGGTCACACAATCCCACAGATGTAATCAACAACGTCCATACTGTGGGAAACTCTGCAGAGCCATCAATCAGATTTCATTCAAGAATAAATTGCAAGGAAAAAAAAAAAGAGGGGGAATTTATAAACTCAAAGAAATCTAAAATATGGAGCGGCCAATAGTGATGAGTGGAATTCATTTGAATTCTGCTTTTTAAACTATTCGTGACATTTATGAGGGAACTGAAAAAATATTTATGAGGCCGTTGAGAATTTGAACATTGGATACTGAATCATATTAAAGAATTAGCATTCATTTTAGGTATGATCATGATAGTGTGGCTGGGTTAAAAATGAGTCCTTTTAGAGGTACGTACTGACGTTTGGGTAGATGAATTGGTATGATGTCCGGGGCTTCAGGGGGCTTCCCAGGTGGTGCTAGTGATAAAGAACCCTCCTACCAATACAAGAGACATAAGAGACGTGGGTTCAATCCATGGGTCAGGAAGGTCCCCTGGAGGAGGGCCTGGCAATCCACTCTGGTACTCCTGCCTGGAGAACTCATGGACAGGGGAGCCTGGCGGGCCACAGTGCAGAGGGTCACGAAGAGTTGGACACGACTGAAGAGACTGAGCAGGCAAGAACTGGGGTTTCAGATCATGTGGAGGGAGTGACACAGCTGCCAATGTAGGGGGAGGATGCGAGTCAACAGTGGGGGGACTCGTGGGGAGCACATGGGGTGCGTCCTGCTATTCTGCTGACCGCGCTGCAGGTCAGCATTCTTCATGGCAAGGTGTCCTCACCCTCTGTACCCCCTCCTGGAGGAGCTCCAGGGAAAGGCACTGTTTCTGTCATCTTGACTTAGAATCCACTTTCCCCCAAGAAATACCGACTCTCCAGCGGATTTGCTTTAAAAGTCCACAACTGTGTGTTGTGTACTTATTTGGATTTGGATAATAGGATACTAATACTATGTATTGCATCGTTATGAGCACTTTCTTGGAACTGGATATCAGTTAATTAAGTTAACTGTTCTATCACATCCCATCCTTATAAACAGCCTTTCAGGTAGGAAGCATCATTGCTTCTGTTCCTTGAAGCAAAAACTGAGATTCAAAATGCTGGAACCACCTGGCTCAGTTCTGCAGCCAGGGCTGCAAAGGAAGCACCTGATCTTAACGACAAGCCCACACTGCCTCATCTGGGGACCAAATCCCAGCGAAATGACCCGGAAGGACAGAAATCAATCCTCACCAAGGTCAGGTATGCTTCAGGCTCCCTTAAGGTTTCCACCTATTGGGCCAAACCAGAACTGCTTTTTGACCTTCAGACAGAATGTTTAAAAGTCATTTTAAAGCCATCTATCCAGGAAGCAGCTGACAATTCTAATATAGGCTGTTTTTAACGGCTGCTGCTGTTTTATATTTTTAATTGAATGTTTTAAATTTTGTGCTTGCACCCTAAAGCTACTTTATTGTGAAGCATGCAATTTTATAAATCAGATTTTATAAAACCCAATGATTAAAGCCTCTGATTACTGAGGGGGATGGCAAAAGAGCAGAGATTTCAATTTAGAACTTGGGACCAGAATTTATGCAGAAAATTTCATGAGCGCAGTAGCTGCCGTTCCCCACTTTATTTGTATCCTGCTGGTCTGAACAGCTGGGAAGCTGGTAATGCTGACACATCAGCAGAAACACACCTCATTAGCTTTCACGTTGGACTTGGCTTGGGGTAGGGAAATTGTTCAGTATGTTCTCTTCATGTCCACATGCCCTGCCTACAACTCACAGATGTTACGATGGCTCAGTAGAGGGGTGTGGTGGTTATGGAATGCATGCTGGCAAAATTCTTCAATCTTCCTTCTTTTTAGATAAAAAGAACTTTCTGAAGGCCTCCTTATTCTGTACAGCCTTTAGTGAATTCAGTATGGGATGTGCTTTCATCTAAATTCAGATTTTAAAACACAAGATCCATGTTGGGCTTATAGCAGACACTCAGTCAGTTCTCCTGGAATAATTAATGAATTCACCTTTCCAAAAGGGGAGATGAGAGCTCTTGACTCACTGGGGTCTCAAAGCATCAAATGTTAAAAAAAAAAACCAAACACTTGAAATAAAAAATGCTGAAAGAAGACGTGTATTATTCAGCCTTCCTGACGGTGGCATGGATTCCCTGATAGTTTTGCTCTTTGAGAGAAAGAGAAATAAATCGGCTGCTCCTGCGTTCAAAGGCATTCCCTTGGAGTCTAGAAACTATGGAAAGCCTTTGGGCCAACTCGGTTTTCTTATGGGAGCTGATGTACTGGGGTGTGTGACTTGTGGGAAAAGCACCTGGTTTTGTCATCTTACTGTGATGTCAATTACCATCACGGCAATTCCACATCAGGATAACTTTGGGTGAGGTTCTAGTCTAGAAATAGTCTCGTTCAGTCACAAGATCCAGATGCTGGGTCCATGCTGACCATGGACAGCTCCTGAGGTGAAAACTGGGCATCATATTGGGTGCAATGGTGTCAAATGGCTCACAGCCTACCCCAGCCATTGGTCAAGCCAGCTCCTGCCTTCACAATTCCTGTGACATTGGCCAACGGCCACACTGATTTCTCCCCACAGGGTTCTCAGCCACCAGAATTAATTTTTGTTAGGCCTCAACAGCAAAGAAAACTTGACGTGTCAGTGGCAGACTGCTACTGGATGCATCCACATCAGCGATTTCTGGCAGCAGTCAGACAAAAGGACCTTTTGCCAACAAAGGCCTGTCTAGTCAAAGTTATTTTTTCCCAGTAGTCATGTATGATGTGAGAGTTGGACTATAAAGAAAGCTTAGTACCAAATAATTGATGCTTTTGAATTGCGGTGTTGGAGAAAACTCTTGAGAGTCCCTTGGACTGCAAGGAGCTCCAACCAGTCAGTCCTAAAGGAAATCAGTCCTGAATATTCATTGGAAGGACTATGCTGAAGCTGAAACTCCAATACTCTGGTCACCCGATTCGAAGAACTGACTCACTAGAAAAGACCCTGATGCTGGGAAAGATTGAAGGTGGGAGGAGAAGGGGACAACAGAGGATGAGATGGTTGGATGGTATCACTGACTCGACGGACATGAGTTTGAGTAAACTCCGGGAGTTGGTGATGGACAGGGAAGCCTGGCGCGCTGCAGTCCATGGGGTCGCAAAGAGTTGGACATGACTGAGTGACTGAACTGAACTGGCAGTGGTCTGCTGTCCTCCCTCTAGAGGAGGCAGTTACTCCTGCAGTCACATGGGCTGGGGGAGAGCATGGGCTAATTCGAAGCAAATGCAATTGCTCCCGTGGGGGCAGGTGGCTGCAGCACAGAGTATCTCTGCACTGTTTACAAGCTCCTCATCTCAACGGTCCTTGTCAAAAAAGATGACCCAGCAGGTTTCTGACCACAGTGCTTACATCAGCAACATAACTCCTGATACAGGTGGCAATCTGCGCAGACTCCATGGGGAAAAAAGAATGCATGATCTGGCAGTCTAAAACATGTCCACAGGTAATTGACTCTCCTCTCTTGGAAAGGCAAGGAGTGAAGACCACAGCGACTCTTTTCTAACAAATAGAACACGGCAGAAGGGTTGGTGTGTGACTTGTGAGGCTGGATCACAGAAGGTGTTGCTGGGTCCTTCCTGCCCTCTCTTCAATCACCTGCTCTGTGGGAAGCCAGCTCCTGGATATGGGGACACCGGAATGGTCCTAAGGAGAAGCCTATATGGTAAGTTTTGCCACTTTTCTTATTATGGAAGAGAACAGCCAAAAACTAGGCTGCCAGGTCCTGAAGAGGAGAAAGGGCAACGTCTCTCTGTCCACATCACCACATAACGCTGAGTGCAGGGAAGAGTCTGGGGAGAGAAACTGAGCAGGGATCTTACTTACTTCATGATGACAATGTAGATGAGATACATCAACACGAGGACCAAAGACTCCCACCTGTGGACAATCCAAGAATGGTTAGTTAACGAAAGCCACCAAGGCACATGTGCCACACCCCCGACTCCCTTACACGCTCGTGTGATGCGAACAACTAAACCTGCCAAACACGGTAAGGAGGAGGTAGCCATGAGAATAACACACACAGTCCCTGATCTATACACAAGTCCTAGGCAGCACCCAGCTTTGGAGGATCTCTTCCTTCCTCCACTCAAAAGGGGAATGCTTCCTCTTCTCTTATTTGCTCACTCCAAAGAGTGCTTTGAACACAGCAATAGGACTCTGTGTATTAAATCTGACCACAGCTTAATCATTCACTAAAACAATTCAGATACAAATGGCAACCTGAAGAAAATGACAGGAGCAACCAAGGGACTGGTAGCTACATCGGAGTAAGGCCTGCTAGATACATTAGATACAGTGGGAGATGGAGACAGAGAAGGAGAGAGGGGAGGGAGGGAGAAGACAGACAGACAGACACATATGGGTCAGGGAAGGTGCTGTCAGAAAGGATAAGAATGAACAAGTGGGAGAATGGTCAAGGGAAAAATAGTGAAACTTCTGGAATGTACCTTGAAGTTTTGATACTTTGAACACTTCCTCTAGTTTATTTTAGTAACTTCCAGTTAGAAAACAAGGAACTTGATTTCTAGGTTCCTCTTCAGGTGTAGAATTTAATTAGTTAATTGAGAGCATCATTTTTGCTTCAAGAAAAGGTTCCTGAGGGATGGTCTATGGAGAAATGTTAGGTTATGGCTTTCCTGTGTGCTTTCAAGTTCCATGTCTAGAAACTGATCCCGGAGAAATATGTGGTCAAACATGAAAAGGATGCACACACAGGTTCCTGCTGAAGTGCTATTTTATAAAAATGCAGTGTTGGAAAGAAGCAGTCATCCAACGAGCAGCTGGCTATGTGAGTTACGGTGAGTCAGGCCTCGCCATGGGCCACCACCCATGGGTCAAGAATGATTCTACAGATACTGTATGAGGCCATTATAGACACAGTGCTGGTGATGCTGGTGATGCTACTGAAAGAAATCGGGGGTCCAAACCATCTAAAGTCTCCTGAAAGAGGCTAAGGACTGACACAGACTTGCCATGAACCTGCTTTCACTTCCTCCTATGTGGTTTTCATGAGCAAGGCCAGGGAGATGAGAGGGGGCTCCTTCTAAGATCATCAGATGGGAAACCACCTGTGAATCTCCTTGCTTCAGGTCTTCTGCACAAACGCAGCAGAAAGATTTCTGAGGTCAAGTGTGATCATAACTTGTTGTCCTTATGGCAGCATGGTTAGCAAACAGCAGCAACCCTGAGCAACACTTAGGCACTTGCTGTTTGCCGAGAGACAGTGCTGGTTGTGTTAACCGTGCCATGAGTTCAAGTGGCAATGCTTTTGCAAGTTTTCTTGTGCTGCGCTAAATCTCCAAGGACATGAGGGGACAATATCACCATTGCATACGATAACCAGGTCCAGGTGGATCCCACGAGGAGGTTCTTCCCTGGCCTCTGAGCTGAGATTCTCCCAGGCATCTTGATCCCTTTCAGCCCATTGATCACTTATTCAAAGAAGACTTCTTTCCTATTTCTTATGGGTCAGTATACAGACCATGTGTCTTAGAGCAAACTCTCCCAGATGTCTCCCCCTCGCCCTCTTGGGCAGAGGAGAGAGAGCAGCAGAATACCTTAATACCCTGAATAGTGTGTAACATTTATGGTCAATGTGATATGTCCCCTGACACCTCGAATTCTGAAATCACAGTGATGATCTAGGGTGCAGAGGTGTTGCTCCTGCAAAGGGCTAGCACTCATTTTGCTGAAAATGAAGACAGCTGGGCTCTGTATTTTTTTATTTTACTTAAAAATGATATAACCTATTATTATTATTTGCATATTCTTTTCCATATGGTTTACTATAGGATACTGAATATATTAGCTCCCTGTGCTATAGAGTAGGAACCTATTATTTGTATTTTTTTGCTACCTCATTCTTAGCTTTCAATAATACCATGCAGGTTGCCTACCTGCAGCATCACAACTGCCTGTTTCTGAGAAGTTATCTCAGAAAAAGTAGCTGTATTTTCACATCACTCTACTTCCACAGATCAAATATTTGAAAAAGGGAACAAGAATGCACAACACACCCAATTTCTGTTTCCATTACAAACACAGCTGACATGCTCAGAACTCATCTCAAAAAAGGCAATTTGGACATTGACCCAAATGCAAATGTTCCCATATACTTAATTTGGGCAATATTTTTAATCTATCAAGAAATCACTGATTTTTCAGAGCTCCAAGTTTATTTTTTTGTTAGGCAGAATTTTAATAGGTTTAAAGGTCATGGAAGTGCCTCCACCTCTGGCTCCTGTGATATATATGGTATTCAAAATATGGCAACGTGGTCTAAACAACTGGAAAAAGTTCATCAAATCTTGTCCGTGGCCTTGCACATGGCTGACTACAGAAAAGCACAGTTAAATCACACCGTCTAATCTGGATGAAAGATGGCGGGATAATAGCAAAGGAAGCGTACTAGCCCAGCCCAAGGGAAATGGTTTCTGCTCCGTTAAAGCTGGTTTGTTTATTGAGATGGACTCAGGGTTCCCAAGAAGTGCTAGCTGTTCCAAGCTGCCCTGACATTTCCCTTTCTTTCCTACACTGTGATTCTGGTTTTTAAGATACTATCTCTGCAACACAGCAAGGGGAACTTGGAAGGGGAAGAGAGGTACTTACCAGGAAACTTGTTCATCATAAATGAACTGTGAGAAAGAAGATTAAAAAAAAGAGAAGATTAGACACATACAAACATGCACACGCATGCCTTATCACTGCATGTTACTTGCCCTCGTGGCTGGTTGCTGGAAACCAGGGCTGGGGCTGGTTTGGAGTCTGAAGCATCTGTGGGCACCTCGGTGGAGGGAGGTCTGCTGGCAGACTGGGGTGGGCCTGGTTCAGAGAACAGAGCATCAGCCCATTTTCTGTCTGAGGGTGGAGTGAGAGGGAAGCCCAACCTTGTTATTTGTAGAATTTTGGATCTGGAAGGCAATGCAGAGCTTGGTGGGGGTATCCAAACATTAGCCACTTATGGGCCGCCTGGAAGCTGTCTGCATGTCTCTGTGCTTTGTACAGCACCTTCAAGCTCTTATGTAAGCACCTGGGTGTCTAGGGACTCAATATTTTCCAATCAGTCAATCTACTCTTTCATTTCCTTAAAAGAACTTATTTTCAAAGAAAATTTTGCATCACAACTGGAAGTGGAGAATCCACACCATGTGTAGAGAGAGAATAAAAATGCACGCAGTGATAACAGTGAAGATCCTGCCTGGACGCTGTCAATTGCCCACATCCTGAGTCATGGGCCTGCCGTATGTGAAGGGAGCTTAGCAGGGTGAGAAGCAGTGAACACACAGGGCTGCACAGAAAACCTCCGTCATCAGTTAGGACCCAAAGGAAATACACAACAGGACTGAATTTATATAAGCCATGGTCCATATAGTAATAGCATCTAAAATTGCATCTCATTTTTTGGGGAAAAGTGGTATAATCTTGGCTCATTGATTTATACAGGGAACGGGGCTACAGAGAACATGCATAGTTTCCCTGCGATTGCTCACTTAGCTGGAGAGTTGGTCCTAGAACCCAGCCCTGGCTCTTAATTTCATGTTCCTTCCAAGGAACCCTATTTGCCCAGATGGTATGGTGTTGAAACCAAATGAATATGCTCCATTTCATTCCAGCAGGAAGCTCTTTCTTTGCCTGCACTCAGGACATGACTGACTTGGGCTCGAGCATCTCTGAGTGGCTTTCTGACAGGCGGGGGCCCACTGGAGTCTCTGAGGCAGAAGCATCCGTATAGAGGGTGATCACGGCGCTGAGATGGTTAACTTGGCTAACAACTGGCATCATTCAGTCGCTGGTGATGATAACCACCACCCGTTGTGGTGACAACAGACACAGACAACCTCAAAGCCCAGCAGGTGCAGCTCAAAGGCACATGAGAGGACCTCCCTCCAGTCGCCCCGAAGGAGTAGAGAGAAGGATGAGGAGAAAGTGGCCACCTTTCTTGGTATCTCACTGTTCCCAAAAAGACAGTGAAAAAGACATTGATTCCATCAGGTTTTGTCCTTTCGTCATATGTCATTATTGCATCCAACAGGCTGGTGTGTGGATGAAGATGTCAAACCAGGATGGGAGAAAAGAAAGAAGTCAAAGAAATGGCCCTATGACCCAGGCTGGATGGTACGGAATCCATTCCAGTCGCTTTTATGTAACCACTAGCTTTCAAAAAATCCAATAAATCATGGAATGGAGCCAGTGATTGAAGTTGGAAAATGTTTTCTATTAATTAAACTTAATTCAATATCAGTCTTGGGCAACAGGATAGAGCAATCAATTCATAGCTACTTAAAAGAGCACAAGATACTGGTGAAGAGTTGATTAGATGACCAATTTAATGTGTGTCTCTGGGGAGGGCAGCCGACACTCCAGATTATGAAAGCAGCTCTAAGGAAGCCTTATTTTGTGACATATGACTGATGGGGGTAGGGCTGTATATGTTTTTTTTTTTTTTTTTAACTCATCTGTATTTGTTACAACTTTTTAAAGCAGAATGTGACTTGAGCACTACATTTGCATTCACAAAACTTGCTCCAAGTTACTTTTCCAGCGGCTTTACAACATGCCTGAGCAGGCTTATAAGTTTGCTACTCTAAACAATATTTTTCTTTGGAAAACAAGCCCTATGTATGGACAGCGATTCCAATCAAGTTGGTTCAGCTTAACACACTAACTTCTAAAGGCCTGGCACATGCAGTCATAACTACAGGGGATGGAAGTTTTAAAAAGTATATCCCAGAAGACGAAAACTTGCTTTAACAAGTGTTTCTTTTAAACATCACGGTATATACTTCAGAACACTTCATAGCAGTCAGAAAAACCAGAATGGGCTTACTATCTTAATGATCATAGCAGTGAAAGAAACCAGAATGGGCTTAACTGGGCAAAGGATTCCAAAGTGAGAGCAGAATTTACAGGGAACACAATGTCAGAGAAATAGTGGGGTGCCCCATGCCTGGATGCAAATGGTGTGAAGGGAGAGAGAGGCAGAAACTTCCAGACCGCGGAGGTAATGGTGCTTCTCCCTGACCCTCAGAGCCCCAAGGACTAAGCCACCCTGTGGCCCACTTGAGAACAAGGTCTGGGTTTGATCCCCCTTCCTCAAAAGGACTAGGTGGAAACACCAGGGGCCTCCAAAAAGAACAATACAATGGCTATAAGGGGCTAGCAATCAGGCCTTTGAGAGCATCTGAATGGAAAGAGGCTTGTTTGTGGAGAAGAAGACCTGCCTGCTGAGTCTGGCGGCGCCTGGAGGCGGCAGGTTGACTGATGGTCGCCCAGACAAGACATCTGCCCTGTTCATGGAAAGGTCCTTCCAGGCAGCACATCTCCAGGGCATCCCTTGGGAGCATGGGGCCAGCCTGTCTCAAAACTTCCGATGCCGAGGACAGTGTTTCTCACTGGGTGCTGTTGATGGCTGGAAGGAGTGGATTTCTTATTCCTTAGAGATTTTATTTCATTTAATTCTTCTAAGACAAGTGTTGCATATTCCTCTGTATTTTCATGTCCTCTGTGAGTAAAAGAAGTCAAAACGACTTCCCCCAACCCCGCAGGCGGGGAGACCAGGGAAGAAGAAAACCTGAACTCTCTCTCCTCTCCTGAAATGAGAAACGCGCCCCCAGTTTCAGCAGGCTCCCACTAGGTGGCGATCACGGTCCAGCCCCGCGCCTGGCCATGCGGCCCCAGAGGGGAGGGTGTGATGAAGGAGGACCATTCCCTTTCTGGGCTTCAGGACATCTTTTGGGCAGAGGGCAAGCGCCTCTGAACAGATAGCCTCCTGCAGGCGCCTGCGGCCAACCCACCTCGGTCACGGGGCGGGGTCACGTTCGGGAGGCAGCTCCTTGCTGGGGCTCTGGGATGCTGACGGGCGGGTCCCTCATTTACACTCACATGCGATCACTGGCCCTACTAGGGTGCGGATGGAGCGGACCTGGAGCTGACCTGCCCCTTTTTTTTCCGGATGTTGCAGCGGAGCCTTCAGCAAGCAGTAACAATTTATTTTCCTGGGCTCCAAAATCACTGCCAACGGTGACTGCAGCCATGAAAGTAAAAGACTTACTCCTTGGAAGAAAAGCTGTGACCAACCTAGATAGCGTATTGAAAAGCAGAGACATCACTTTGCTGACAAAGGTCTGTATGGTCAAAGCTATAGTTTTGCTAGTAATCACGTAGGGATGTGAGAGTTGGACAATCAGGAAGGCTGAGTGCTGAAGAACTGAAGCTTTCAAATTGTGTTGCTGAGGAAGACTCTTGAGAGTCCCTTGGACTGCACGGAGATCAAACCAGTCAACTCTAAAGGAAATCAACTGAATATTCATTGGAAGGACTGAGTCTGAAGTTGAAGCTCCAATACTTAGGTCACCGGATGCGAAGAGCCAACTGATTGGAAAAGACCCTGATTTGGAGAAGATTGAAAGCCAAAGGAGAAGAGAGGAGCAGAAGATGAGCTGGTTAGACAGCAACAGTGACCCAGTGGACATGAATCTGAGCAAGCTCCAGGAGATAGTGAAAAACAGGCTGGTGTGCTGCAGTCCATGGAATCACGGAGAATCCGACATGACTTAGCGACTGGACAACAACCCCTTGGGGAAGCAGCTTTCTGTTCTCTGCTGGTTGTCTGAAGCCAGGCCCGTGATAGCCCCTGTGACGCGCGTGGCCCCAGATTTGCTGCACAGCTGGTCCTGCCCTCTGACCCACACGTGGTTCCTCCAGATCGACCTCAGGCTGCGCCCTAGGCTTTCCAGGTGTTCCGTGGACCAGCTAATGGTAATTCACAGGAGTGAATCTGAAAAAAATACTCTTTTCCTCCAGGCCTCTGGGAAATAAATGGGCTACCATGGAAACCAGCTTTTCAGTGTTGGCATCTGGTCTAGAATTCTTCCCAGAGACAGGCTTCCATCAGACAGGCGACTCCCTGGATGACAGAGCATCCCAGAGACTCGAGATGGGACACCAGGGAATGGACCACCAGGGGTTGCAGGCCAGTGGGCCGGAGAGAGAGGCTGGGCTGGCCCCACACTGTGTGGCGGCCTCGGGTTGGCTGGTTATAGGCTGTAATCATGGCCGGGTGGCTGCCTTACTGAAGCTGAGACCTTGTAGCTGGAATCGTAATCACTGGCACCATCAGAATTTTAAGCAGTGAAAGTAAAAGGAGAAAATCAACACCATCATTCTCTTTCAAGAGCCTGAAACCTTGAACACCCTCCCTGCTGAGAAGGAAAACTGCTACCTGCAGACTCTCCCTCCATGGCGTACCGGTGCCCTCAGGAGATGTGCTGTCTTGGAGGCCTGCCTCCCCAGGCTCTGGGGCTGCAGGTGTGGGTGGGTGGCTTAGCTGAGGCCACGGCGACTTCCCTCTAAGAGGAGTCAGATGGAAAATACTGGCAAACAGCCACGAGGCATGGGTATGGTTTCCAATTGAAGGGTAAACAGGACTTCCCACATTAGGCTCTTCAGCAGGCTGACCTGACAGCGTGGGGGCTAAGGGAGGGTGGCAAGGACAGCTGGTGTAAAGGCAGGGCTTGAGCAGAGCCTGGGAAGGGATTAGGGGAACAGGGGGCCCTTGGGTCTGTTTGAGGAAATTGGACGTCCTCTCACATCCTTCCCTGTGAGAATCTTCTGACTGCCACAGCCATTCCTGCTT